TTTTTCAAAATTTAAATTTGTTCAGATTTAGTCAAAGTATCATTCACAATATTAACTAATTCATTCGCATCAAGACATTCATCAACTTTAACTATTCCATATCTATACTTATCATTCGGAACTTTGTTAAATTCAGCTATTTCTTTTTCACAGTCATACGAAATGTTATCTACCGAAGCTCTTTCATAAGCTAAAAATGGCAGCAATTTTCTATGTTGTTCTTTACTTATTTCACACGAATGATGTAGTTCAGTTAATTTCCCATACAATCTTTTAGCCGAATTACAGTAAATGTTTCTCTGGGCTAACAACAGTTTAGTTTCGCTAGACAAATTATCCCTATCAACCATGATATTTGTTATTTGAAGTTCTAAACAATCTATCTTAGTAATTTTCGAATCTAGTTTCTTCTGTGTCTCTAACAACTGCATAGACAGCTTCTTAGCCTCATTGCTAGCAGACACCACAATTGAATCAAAATAAGTAACAGTTTCATCGAAATATACTAATTCAGAATTATAAGCATGTACTGGAATATTGAAAGATTCAAGAATATTACGTACCTTTGTGGTCATCGGAGATTTGTCAGCAGCTTTTGATACGAAGCATTGTCCTCTCACTTCGAATTCCTCATCATCTGAATCCTCCTCTATTTTCGCATACATCGCTCCATGTGTCGGATTCTTCATCTCCTCATCGTCTGACCCGGATGACCAAATCTGATAAGTTCCATCTTCTTCTTGTTCACCATGAGCAACTAATGAAAGATTCTTTTCCTTCGCACGCACCTCCTCCAACTTTTCCACATAATACGCTTCATCCTTTGTCTTATTCTTTTTCTCATCTTTCTTCCTCAGCATGCAATCATTAGCTAAATGATTAGCCCCATTGCAGTAATGACAATCAATCCCAGCATCTCCCTTTAACTTCTTCTCTGTTTTACCCTCAACAAACTTCGTATCTTTCTTCTCTTCCTTTTTCTTCTCATCCCCAACACTTTTACTCACAAAATTTCCTTTTGTATCAGATGATTTTGTCTTCGGATTAAAAGGCTTTTTGAAGAACTTTTTCACACGATTGTTTGAATAGAAAGCAATCGCCTCATCATCTGAGTTCATGATGAACCCTTCGTCTTCATCTGAAACATCTTTCTCAGCTTCCCTTTCAGAGATCTTCGAAACCAAAGCTAGTGGACCTCCCAAACTTGCCTTCGATTCTTCAGCAATTTCATTCACTTCGCTTTCATGAGACTTCAGCTGATTGTACAAGTCATTCAAAGTTGACGTATCAAAGCTCTGTTGATTCTTAACCATCATGCTCACACTACGCCACTCCTTACGAAGACCCATAACAAATATTAAATTGAACTCCATGGCTGATCTGGTGATACCATATCGATTGCATCGATGGATTAATTCATTAAGACGATCATAGTAAACTTCAATCGTTTCACCATCTTTCTGTCTGAAGTCCTTCAGTTCCACTAAGCATTGCTTCACAGAGTTAACTTTTGTCTTCTCACTTCCCTGAAATTTCTCCTTGAGATTGTTCTAGATCTCCTTTGCTGTTGTACAACTCCTCACATAGTTGTAAACAACTGGAGGCAAAGCACCTCTTAGTTCTCTCACACATCTCTTCTCTAGCTTTTTCAGACAATCAGATTGATTCTCAACTTCGGAACTTCCAGAAGATGATCTAATTGGTTGAACATTCATTGGTGGATTGAGATTGCCAGAAATGCAATTCCACAGTTCTTCATCCAATCCATTGAGATAATCCTGCATACGATCAGCCCATTGATCGTAATACTCAGGAATTAGCATAGGAATTTTGGTGGATGATCCTAGAAGATGAGAAAATGAAGTCATGGAATTAAGATTGAAAGACGCCATTGATGTACGGAATAATTCCTTGAGAATTTTTGAAGAAACTTTGAGAATTTGACAACAAACTATATGATTCAAATCAGAATCACTAGCAGAACACTCAATTCAATGATTCAAGTGCAGAATCGAATCACAGACTTAGATCCAATGAATTTTTCACTTTCAAAAAATGCGGAATTTCTTAAACCAAAAAGTTGATTTAAAAACTTTTGAAGAGATGAAAATCAGATCAAAGATATGATTCCTTCTCTGATACCAATTGAAGAAACAATGAATCGAGTGATGAATTAATCAGAGTATGAATTCAAGTAATGATGTGAGATTTAGACACAGGATGTAAATATGATCTTGTTTCAGCTCTATTACGCTTTCAAGTTTTACAGAGTACAAGATGTAATTCTGTAAAAGACTTCGTTACTATGACCCTAGTAAGCACTCCTATTTATAGGAGAGGAAAGCGTACAAAAAATATACTAAGGACTAAGCGTTAAGCTTCGAATACAATGCCCTAGTAAAATAGATTACAAATATGTTCGAAAACACTAAAACATACTTCGACTAATTACAACACTTCGACTCTAACAAAACAAGAAGGATAGACAAGATACTAACTTTTTACCTTCAAAAGCTCTCCAAGATGAACTAGATGCAGGATCCAAAAGCTCTTTCCTGGATCAAAACTTGAACACCACATTCTTCTTCTTGTACACCCTCAAGAAAGGCCACCAAACACACTGTTAAGCTCAAATCTCACACTTCCTTGCAAAACTAGGGTTTTAGGATGAAATGAGGCTATGGAGGTTGATTAGGGTTTAGTCCAATGATATAAGGTTTCTTATATAGGGTAGGAACCCCGAAATTAGGGTTTTACTCTGAAGGGAGTATGCCCCGCGTACCCCTTAGTACGCCCGGCGTACTCACAAACCATCCGCGACCATGCAACATTCTACGCCCCGCGTTCTCAATGAGTACACCCCGTGTTCTCAATGAGTACGCCCCGCGTACTCATGGAACCCTTAAAACCCTAAACTTAACTTGGCTATAACTCCTTCGTTCTAAGTCCGTTTCCGACGAACTTTATATCCACGGAAAGGTGACGAGAAGCCCTACACTTCTAACAACTCACCCTTGCCTAAAAAATTCCCGAACAAGAACCCAAAATCCATAAAAAATCGAGATATCAAATTACGATTATACCCTTGGCCTCCGAAGACACAATCGAACACTTGGATCACTTATATCATGACACCCACATCCGAAATGGGCCAAATCCTTCCTTTACCAAGGCCCTAATCCCCATAACCACTGATGATTGGGCCGCAGCCCCAAGCAACGAAGCAAATCCAAAACCGAGTGTTACAGATTAACCAATATGGGTTCGATTCGGTTCGGGATTTAATCAGTTCGGTTCGGTTATTACCCGAATAACATGTACAAGATGATTAAGGACCTAATATAACAAAAAAACCGAATAAACAATATTAGGATTCTATAACCCGAATAATATAATAACAATGTACTTTTATACATCAACATAAAACATTCAATGACTAACATAACACAATAACACATTGAAAGAATAGCATTTACATAGTAGATTAACATAATGAGAATTAATTGCTTACTTGAGTTTCTTGAGTTGCAGCCCAATTTTCCATGACTAGACAAAGTAGGAATTCGTGAATCGATAGAGGTAATAGGAAGGGTCGATTTTTGAAAGTCTGAAACAAGAGGAATGATCGACAAAATTGATTTCGATTTTGGCAATAGTTGAGAAGATTGGTCGTTTTTGAAACGACAAGGACGCACGTAGGTTTTTTTTGTATTATGAACGATGATGACAGAAGTGTAAATCGTGATTTTGATTTTTTTCGATCAGAGAAAGGGGACGAGGAATGCTTATTCGGGTCAGGTATTTAGAACCGAATAAGCTCTTATTTGGGTAACCCGAACCGACTAACCCGAGAACCGAATAAGCATAATATGAATACCCGAAACCTGAATCGAATTGCTTATTCGGGCCTAATTCGGTTCGGTTCGGTTCGGGTTTTCGGGCCAAATTATCATCCCTACCCACGCCACACCTATATATCTATGACCTTTTGACAATATCAATCCCTATAGCCTTTATTTTCTTATTTTAACCACTAACAAATCTAGTTTTTTTATTCAACTTTTAAAGTTTAGGATTTGGCACCAAATTATCTACATTTTAGCAAGAGTCCTAAATATTTTGATTTTCAGCACCCAAGTTTGACTAACATTTAAAATTTAGGCCCTTTTAAATTATTTTCTATTTCTAAGTCCCAATTAACTTTTTTCTTTAAATATTTGATCTAAACCTTTTACTAGTTCATTTACTTATTATATACATTTTATTATTATTTTATTTACTTTCAATATTTTTTCTTTTCACTAAAAAAAACCAAAAATTTCTAGGCCCTGAATACGAATGTTACATTTAAACATCCCACCATTATAAAATTCCATTGAAAACAATGTGAGATTTGTTCGCGCTCAACACAAAATAAGAAGAAAGAAGTTAGTAACTTTGTGTTTTGAAATTGAATTTAAATAACACCCATGTACTTAACTACTTACCGTATATCATTTTGGTTTCAAAGTGTTGATTCAATAGTTGAATGGTTCACATTTGAAACACCATTCTTTTCAAAAATGTCGAGTCGATGAACAATGATGGTGCTTTGGTTAGGGTTTTCTATGGTTAATGAGGAGAATGGAGATATATGAACAAGCAACTGCAAAATAAGGATTATAATTGTGATTGTAGGTAGAATCTATTTCCATTATGACAGTAATGTTAAGGAGTTGATGCATATATTAAATGAAAAAAGTACATAACCTCATTTAAGAGGCATGTGGGAAGGGTTAACATATGTTTATAATGGGGTACGTTTAGGTAGATGGACCAGATCCATAATAAAAATAGGACAAAATACTATTCATAATTTGAAGGTTATGGTCAAGTACCCAAAGAAAAAATAGACAAACCATGAGGACCAAAATTTGCAATTTTCTAAAAAAAATGCCTAGAAAATAAAAATAAAACACATATAAAATAAAAGGTTAAAAGTAAATAAATATAAAGCAACGGTTACAACTATGTTCATAGGCAGTTGATTGTCTCCAGCGAAAGTGGCGACGAAATGCATCACAGTGAAGCAGGGTGCCTGAAAGTCAAGTCTGAGTCCGAGACAAAATTTGAAGCGATAGAAATGGGTTCTTACAGCGTCTGCGTCCATCCTCTATGATCGAATCGCACGTCGGAGCAGCTTCTCCATGAAAAACTCTGCAACTCTCTACAGGCACTTTAGGTTCGTCTAATTCCTACCCGCCATACCCGCGTATGCAGTATGCTTATTTGTTTGTGTACTTTGATTGTGCCAATTTATCTGTCTACAAATGCTTGTAATTGGAAACCCTAGGTCTAGTATCATAAACGCCTTCTTGTGTTTTGAGAGAAGACAACGACAGAGAAGGACAAAGAACTGAGAAAATATGTGTCGAAAGTTAGATGACCTTAGGGCCATTATGTTGTAGTTCAGGGGTCAAAATGGAAATTTGTGTTGGCAAATCTGACTTAGTGTACTACTTTACTAGCCATTCGATCTTTGTGGTTTCACATATCCAATCCGTGACTAAATATCTTCTTGAAAAGTTTTGCATGTTCGTTGAAAATTCCATCTTTTTCTCTTTATGGATTTTACTTTGTATGCTGTTTTGTCTCAAATGCTTCATTCCTTAAATGATTCAAATATAGAGATTTTAGGGAATCAAAGACACAAAGAACATCAATTTATTTGGATGGTCAAAGTTAGCTCCAGTATCCAGGGCACCAATCATCTCCAGCTTTAGACTTAAGAATCTTTCTTGCACTACAAACTGGAATCTTGGAACTCCAAAAAGCATGGAATACTTTTCCACTGCTGTTATATTTCTCATTACTGTATTTGGTGTTGTTTTTTATTATTTACAGAAACAACAGGAGGAAGATGATGGTGAGCAGAAGAATTCATCCCTGTCATCATCATCGGATCAACAACAATCCCTACATGAAGAAGGAGTTGATCAGAGGAAAGATTGATACTTATCATGGTCACCGAGTAAACCATGTCGATGTTTTTCACTTGCTGAAATCAAATTGGCCACCAATGATTTCGATGATGCATTTGTAATCGGAAAGGGCGGGTTTGGGAATGTATACAAAGGTAAGATTAACTGTGGGGAAGAAGGAATTGATGTTGCCATTAAGAGGTTGAATCTTGAATATTCGAGTCAAGGGGCAACCGAGTTCCGGGCAGAGATTGAGATGCTTTCCAAGTTTCGCCATAGTCACATCGTCTCTCTTTTAGGATACCATGAAGGATCCGATAAAAGAGAAATGATCATTGTTTATGAATACATGCCGAATGGAAGTCTTGAGGATCATCTGCACAAAAGAAGACCTAATGGAAGTAATTGTTCTCTGCTGACATGGGCCCAGAGGCTCCATATTTGCATAGGTGCTGCTCGCGGTTTGGACTACCTCCATACAGGTACAAGTGTGCAATCAAGAGTCATACACCGTGACATCAAGAGCTCAAACATCTTGCTGGATGAGAATTTGGCAGCTAAAATTTCGGACTTTGGTTTGTCAAGGATTGGCCCAGCAAATCAGTCAGGAACTACTAATGTTTATACCGATTTCATAAAAGGCACGTTTGGGTACATGGATGCTGAGTATTTTGCAACTCACAGACTTACACGAAAGTCTGATGTGTATGCATTTGGTGTGGTGTTACTGGAAGTGTTGTGTGGTAGGCCTGCCCTGGATTTCACATTAGATGAGGAGCAACACAGCCTGGCTGTATGGGCCAGAGACTGCATCGAAGAAGGTAAGATTGATCGAATCATTGATCCCAGTTTGAGGGGTCAAACCACAGCTAGTTGTCTGAATGAATTTGCACAAATTGCATATGAATGTATGCTTAGTTCTTCAAAGAATCGACCCACAATGACTAAGGTAGTGGCTCGGCTAGAATTTGTGTTGGCATTGGGGTCACAAAAACATGGGGGAGTGACAATTGCTGAAAAGGTGTGGGCGCTGTTCTCTATTCCAGGTAAACATGAACTCTTAGAAACTTAATCGTTAGACAAACCCATGGTTGTCCATTATATTGAATCCCATACAAGAAGTAAAACTATCTCAAATTACATGGATGACATGCTTGATGGATCCCACTTCTAACTATTTATGCATGTATATGTTTTCACATATCTATATATGTATATGCATGTACACATCTATATTCACATGTATGCACATATCTGTATCTGTATACTATTCTGTTTTGACCAAGAAAGAATACTAAAATTCTTCAACAATGGTTGAAGAAGACAGCTACAGCTCAATGACTAATGATCTGAACTCAAATGCTACAAATCTTTTGACTCTATGTCCAAAACAACTACAAAGTTACAAAATATAAATACATATCAGAACCAAAACCGACCAACACGGCTGGATCTAAAGATTGTGTACCATGTAACACCCTTCCGTGAGGGGTTAGCGAATACATAGTTTCTAGGAGAACAAAACCCCATAAATGTGTGACTAATATGCAAGAGATGGCGTGTGAAGCAGGAATTCTCAATGCATGTCTTGATTTACATCTTGAGAACGCAATTCTTTAAACTTTCCCATTGAGTTGACGCCTTAGAAATAGAGTTTAGGCCACACGCACCTGAAGTTTGATGTCCCTATCGAGTGATCTTACCAAGTAATCTTAAAAAGCAGGATCTTGAACTTCTTCCCACATAGCCATATTCAATTATGAGACCTTAGTATATCATTCATAAGATCAGTATTTTGCAGGCATATGATACTTCTCCAAGCATGTGGTAACGTACTCTCCTTATATATTGTGAGCTCCCTTAACGTTCGGCTGGATGATTATTTTTGACTGACTAGTTAGTATATTTCAAAAGGGTGATTTTTTTGTTTGTGTTAAATCAATTTCACCAAGACCATAAGAGCCATGATTTCTCGACTCTCATAGTTATCACTTTTGTAGTCCCATACACCTTTGTCCTTGGGAAGGCATAGATTTTTCCTAACAACGAGCAAGGTTTTCCTCTTCTTTGAATATCGTCCATAAAGTAAGTTGTCTCATCCTTCTTAATTACCGGCGAGTGTTACTTTGATAGTGGACATATAGTACTCGAGAACTAGAAAACACTATATCAATCAAGACGATCCTTTCCCATTTTTTAATGTTTCCGCTTGTGAATACGGAATATAAAGAGGTCTTTCTCTGTAGGCCTTCCTATTGCTTTCTCGATTGACATTTAAAGGCTCTCCTTTTAGCCTTTTTCTATCAACCAAATTTCTTCCCACTTAGTGAAAATTTCCTTTCTTAGAAGACCCAGGTGGTCCTTGATAGGAACCCATCCCATACTAGGTTCGTATCAAGCCATAACCCAGGTTTAGAACTCACTAAACCATCCCATACTAGGTTCATATGAAGCCATAACCCAAGTTTAGAGCTTACTCCCAAAAGTCAGCTTGTAGGAGGAGGGGACACCTAGACTTATAAGCCACCAACTTAATTTACTTTTGGCTTATGTGGGATCGTGACAATACCATACCACTCTGAATCATTGTTGGTCGAAATTGGAACCCCTCTTTTCGGGTCCAACCATACCAATCTGAGTCATTGTTGGTCAAAATTGGAACCCCTCTTTTCGGGTCCAAGACAACACTCCATAGGCTACCACTCCAAGTGTTGGAACCTCGAAAGATAGGGATCGCTCTAATACCAGTTGATACGAACCCATCCCATATTAGGTTTGTATCAAGCCACAAACCTAAGCGTAGAACTCTTAAAAGCCAACTTATAGGAGGGGACAACTAGACTTATAAGCCACCAACTTAATTTACTTTCGGCCGATATGGGATCATAACAATCCTCTCCCTTTCACTTCTCACCCATGACATTTCTTTCCTCAACCTCAAGTGCAATAACATCCTCAACAATTTGTTGGTTCATCCTCTGCTTTAACCTGTGCGCAAATAACAAAAGCAAACAATACAAGAGAAGAGAAGAAAGAAAACATATGAGAGACTTTTTTTGTTTGTATTTAAAAGCTGCTACTCTTTTAACCTAAGAACAAAAGGCTTTAAATAGCCTACAAATCATCCAACGTAAATAAACAAATCAATCTAAAACCTAGCGACCACCCCTAGAAAATAGGACACTCCTATGACTAAGTACGCCAATGTTCACTTGCAATGGACATGGACTTGGTCAAACATCTTTTATTCGACCATTAAATAAAACAAACTAAAAGACTAACTATTTGACTCATATACCCACTTTTGACTAAAGTCAGAGTTCAACCCAACACAATTGGCCTCATCATGCCCAAGGTGGTCGTGCTCTTCACCGCAAGATGATAGTGTGTAGGTAACCATCAACAAAATGGTTAATTGTGGGGGGAACCCCATGCCTAGCGAACTCAAATTTCTCAAATAATGCACATGCGAAGGACTCAATGAACAAATCTATCTATCCTAATGCGGGCAACTCCTCGTTCTTAAGGACATCCCAATCATTGTAGTATATCTCTTCCAACTTGTCTTTGATGGCGCTCCCTTGTCATGTTTCACCATTGTCAAGGCTAGCCAACAAACTTGACCTTTTGCGTCTCATCACATTCATATGATTCAAACATCTACTCCATCTCCATAAGCCACTTCATGGTTACCCTAGGTCAGAGCTTTCTTCAAATTTGGGTGGCTAACACTCATAATATCCTAAATGAGTAAACCTTCCCTATCATTGCCTTTGACTTTCACTCCCTTTTATTGTGGTGTCTCCCTAGTCCCTTTGTTTGCATGGTGGTGGACATTCACATTGGTTGTCTCCCTATATGTTACACACATCCTTATCCTCTATGAACTTGTCAATAAGCTCACGATTATTTGTTTGATTTCCTCCCTAATTAATCAAAGATCAGAGTCCCCTTCCATATTTGCTGCTCCATCCTCTTGAGGATGCACTCTCGCCTGACTTGGCTCTCATAAAATGCCCACATTCTTACTGTGAGTCCTTATCATACTTCCATGCTTAGTAATAATCCAATAATAACTCTTAGCTAGCAAAGATAACAATTAAAATGCTAAAATCGGATTTATTTTTAAAGATAGCATTCGTGCTGCGAGTCCTTACCATACTTCCACAATTTTGAACTTTTTCAGAGATGAAGTGTCGATCAATCTCTATGTTTTGTAAGGTCGCGGTGAACTGAATTTTTTGCTATGTTAATAGTAGGCTGATTATTGGTAAACTTTTTTTTAGATTCTCCATTTTTCATTCCAAGGTCCTTAAGTCTGTATACACATTCCTTGGCAACTTCCTAATGCAAGAGCTCAATACTTGGATTCAACACTGCTGCAAGGCACAAGAATTTGTTTCTTGCTCCTTTATTTAACAAAATTGATGCGGAGATAGGAGCAGTAACCTGCAATCAATTTTCGGTTTGCATTCTTCTCATCCCAGCTTGAATCAGTATAACTTGCCATCACAGATTTCATTCATATTCCCATGCTGAGAGTCATCTTGATGAGGTACCGTAGAATGCGATTGATCACCACACTAAGTGACATCACAGATTTTAGTCCTTCTGCTAACAATGCTTTATGCTTATAGAGTACGCAATGCTTATCATATTCGGGCATCATGAGTTTCTTGTGACCTTCGTGACGAACCACAGAGAAGACTTCACGGGGAGTTGATAGGGGACTTATTCTCAACCGTATAAATCCTTACTGAAGGGCCCTCATCTCATCTCCCTTTCATGGTTAATACTGAAATAGTTCAAGTTGTCTTCCTAATTTATATTTTACATGGTAAAGTAGAAGTATCTCTTTCATTTTACTAATACAAAAATTGTTTGTTTCATGTTTATCATTTGAAATTCAACTTATATGTTCAAAGTAGCATCCGGTCTCAACCAGTCATGATGTGATGAATTCTTAGGAATCACCTCGAGTGTGAAACAGTAATGACCGTTATATAACGATATTTGTGGCTTCTGTTAATATCATTCCTCCAGTTCTATCTCTATTGTCTCTCTTTGTTTCATTAAATTTATATAGTTTCATTTGGTTTCAGCAGTGCATGCTAAAAATTACAGAAGTAGACAAAAGTGGAGCAATGACAACAAAAGTAAACGGATCATACTAGGCAAAGCAATGACAGAAGAGAATAACAATGAAGGTAAAGATAATGGTATGACTTTAGTACATCCCACTAAGACAGCATCAGAGGGGAGCAATGAAAACATAAATAAAAGTGTGACAATGTTGAAGGAACAGTCATCAAGTAGTCAGATGGCGACACAGAAATTGATGATATTCACATTAGATGAGTTGTGGAGAGCCACCGGGAAATTCTTGCCACCACCAATTCTTGGAGTTTCGGATCGTGTGTCAGTCTATAAAGGGTGGGTGACTAGTGCATCATACACACCATCAGCATTTGATGTCCCAGAAGCCATCATGATCAAGAATTTAAACACAAATGTTGCTAAAAATCGCGATAAGTGGCAGGTTTGTTTGTTTTTTATAGTATATATATCAATGTGACTTTTTTAGTGAGGTCTATGATAGAACCAAATTATTTGAACATATACATTATGCAAATTTACTAGTTTGAGTCTAGAGCCAATATGCTAGCATTGCTATGTGTAGAAAAAAAAAACTATGTTACAGCATAGGAAAGTTGACACCAAGAATATGGTTGTTTGTGAAAATTATATCTCTCTCGGGAATAAAGATCACTTTTGACTCTGAAGTGTCAAATGAGTTGCTTTTTTAGTTTCAAAAAATCGTATATATTATTTTTCTTTTTCTTATGGAAATTATCACTACATTAAACTATAATGTTTTGAAAAGAAGTGTTACAAAGTGGTAAGATCATCTACTACCTAGCTTTAACAGACTGCACAAAGGAAGTAAAAATCAAATTGTTGATATCTTGTGTTTTCTTGACAGGCAGAAGTGGAATATATGGGAAAATTTAGCCACCCAAATGTTGTTAAACTCCTTGGATATGGATGGGGCAGTAATGAAATTCATCTTGTTTATGAATATTCAGAAAAAGGGAGCTTGTATATGCATCTCTTCGGCAGTAAGTATTTAAATCTACACCAATAAATATGGAAAAACGTTGTATATATCTGATAAGTCTAAGATAATATATATTTATTTCTTCAATTGGATTATGCAGAAGATGCAGAACCACTTCCATGGGACAAAAGGATTAAAATAGCCTTGGGAGCAGCTCAAGGCCTTGCTTTCATGCACACGGAAATGTATGTCATTTGCAGGGATGTGAGATCCTCAAACATTTTGTTAGACGGGGCAAGTAATTAAAAAACTAGATAAATTTACTCTAAACGTTTGTCAATGATTATGATTGATGTTTTTGGATTGCAATATTTTAGTTTATATCTTTAATATATCATAGCGATTTTTACATATACTGAATTGTGTTTCAGGAGTTCAATGCAAAGATCACAGATTTTGGAGAGGGAGGGTTTAATCCGGTCAGTGGAGAGTCTCCTACATCATACAACGACGGTTATGTGGCTCCTGAGTATCTAGCCACTGGGTAGTTCGCTGATCAAATTGGTTTTAGACCTTAAATCATCAATTAGGGTTTCTCAATCTTAAGGGTTACATTGACGAAGGCTATGATATTGCAACTAACTACAGGGTGGTTATATCTGAAGAGCGATGTTTATGGTTTTGGAGTGGTGATGCTAGAGATAGTTACAGGGTTACGTGCAGTTGGTTCTGGTAAGTATTATCAGCTACAGAGTTTGGTGGATTAGGCTAGACCTTACTTAACCAGTATAAAAAAACTACGAAAAATCATGGATCCACAGTTGAAACAAGTTTATCCATCGAAAGCTGCAATGAAAGTAGCTCAACTCATCATGACACTGACTACCGGCCTTCAATGGAGAAAGTGGTGGCACGGTTAGAGGAGATCAACTCAATTAAAATAATACCAGAGACGTGTTAAAAGGATAACACATGGCACTCTCACTCGATGAGCCTGCACCATGAACATAAGTTTGGTGATCGATCACCCATTATAAAGGTTTCGTAATTTATATTTTGGTTATAGGATCAATCTTGTATTAAAAAGTGATAGTCTTTTCAATTTTATTATTACAGATTGTGTATGTAATTGATTTTGATTAATATGCTCTATATGCTTTTGTTAATATTACAATGTATTACTCATCTGTTTAACTAGGATACTCTTTTGGTTAAGATGAGGTGTTGATCTAGATTTCACATTTTTTATTATGCATGATGGGTGAGAGTACAAAGTTGATATTTTATTTTGTATTATATGAAACTTTGGTTTAATTTGAATATTAGTAAATCTACCAAAAAACTAAATATTTTTATAAAATGTAAAATCATGACATACAAATTGTCTGTCGTAAATTTACAGCCCATAAAGATATGTCGTCTTTTGTTTATGACTGGCTTTCAACAACATATATTTATCTGTCATCTATACCCTTTGCGGTATGTCATTAAAGGCCTTTTTTTTGTAGTAGCGAGAATAGCGACAAATCTGACAACAAATAGATCGTCGTTGATTATAATATAGGTATATGAATTAGAAACATACAATTCTGAGGAAAATATCCATGATCTATACCTCTGTTTCTAGTAGTTAATCGAATATATGGTTTAATTGGAAAAATACATTCTAATGGTTATTTATATCGGTTATGTTTAATTTAATCTGTATGAGTGTTAGGTCTACGAATGAAGTTTGTTTGTTTGAGTGGGGTCGGTTTTGTGGTCATCACTCATCAGCAATGGAATAGGTTCTCCTTGACTTGGTGAACTCACAAAATGTATGTGGGTCTTTTTTTTTTTTAATTGTTGTGGGCACCACAAGTTCCAACCAAAGCTGACTAGCCAATCCTTATGCTTTCATATTTCCAATCCTTGACTTGGTATGCTCTTCAAAAGCTTTGCATATTCGTTAAATTTCCATCTCTTTTTTTCTTAATCTGTATTTCTGATGCTAGGTCTCAAATAGACGAAAGTGGAGCAATGATAACAGAAGTAAACAGACCATACTAGACAAATTAGCTGCCGCAACAAAGATACCTGTATCATGTTACTAGATCCCACTAAGCCAGAGCCAGAAGCAGAGGGGAGCAATATAAACATAAATAAAGGTCCTTTGAGCATTCAGATGGAGACACATAACTTGAAGGTTTTCACATTTGATGAGTTGCGGAAAGCCACCCGGAATTTCCGGCCATCAGCCATGGTTGGAGTTTCAGATGGTGAGTCAATCTATAAAGGGTGGGTGGATAGGGCATCATACAAACCATCAGTATCTGGAGTAGGGATAGCTGTCGCAATCAAGATTTTAAACACAAATAATGTCCAGAGTCTCAATGAGTGGCAGGTCTGTTTATCTATTATACCTTCGAATTTTGTTTCTTTTGGTTTGAATTTTCCCATGAAGGCCAGGTCTAACTTTGAACTTTGTCAAAACTTTTGAGTTTTGACTAGCTAACTTTCAGTGATTAGTCTATCCCTCTCTTTTCTTATGGGAGATATGTTAGAAAATGTGTGTGTGTGTGTGTGGTTTGGGGGGGGGGGGGGGGTTCAATTGCTTTTGTGATAACACTTTCAGATTAAAGTATTTCGATGGTATAACCGAAATATCCAATCAGATAAAACCCAGAAAGAGATGAAGAACAGAGAATGTGAATGTTATTATTCTTGTGTACCATATTCAAATGACCAAAAAAACAGGATATAACTCCTTGTCCGAAAACTATCAATAACATGTCAATATGACAGTTACAAACTGCCACAAAACTGTCACTAAACTGCCCTAAACCGATACATGTTAGGGTTAAAACCATCAAGGTCAAAATTCTCAAATTCAGATTTCTATGCTTTTACTCAAATTCGGCTCAACTCCACGGGCTCTGCCCCTTGGACCCCGCCAGGGGTTGCCACCCCTTGGACCCCGCTACCAGAAGTGCTGCCCCCGGACCCCGTACTTTAAATTATAATAAACTCAAACAAATGTGCACTACACACAGTAGCGGACCTTGGTGGGGCATTTGGGGTCCCGGACCACTGCTCAATTTCCGGCACGCAGTGTAATTTTTTTTTATTTTTTTTTGGTTTTTTCTATTAGGTGCACCCGCTTGAAGTACGAGGGACACGCCTACTAAAACAGTCTGCGTCCGCCACTGACTACACACCACCTTTACTTGTTCAATATTTATCAAGATTACATTGGTCAACAAATTAATCTTATTACACTTAAACAACATTGGTGACACAAATCACCAACAAGATATTGGTACAAAAGGAATTACCCATTCCAGACAAAGCGGTCATTTTCACAGAAGAGAAAAAACCTGGTCATTTTTATTAACAACCTCCTTCGTTAGCTTAGTTAATATTCCTTATAAAAAAAATGTTATTTTGGTTTATAGAAAGAGAGACATATTGTGTTATAACATTTTATCATTAATGTATTAAACGATATATTGTGTTTGCGTATGCCAGGCAGAAGTGACTCGGGGAAGGTTTAGTCATCCCAATCTTGTTAAACTCTTAGGATATTGTTCAGAAGACGGAAAGCTGCTCCTTGTACATGAATACATACCTAAAAGAAATTTCATAGACATTAGTCGACGTAAGTATTCCCTCTGATCCCAAAAACTAGACTCACACCTTTTGGCAGTAAACCAAAATTCCAGATTCAAGTTGCATATATTTTTTCCAAGTGAATTGGGTATCAACCATAGCATAACTTACAATTATGAGAGTAATTGTGTTTGTCTTGATTTATTTGGACATTTGCAGGCCATCCACTTCCATGGGATATAACTATGAAAATTGCTAATGGAGTAGCCAAAGGCCTTGCTTTCTTGCACACTCATGAGAGCTCCCCCACATTTAGGATTTTCAATGCTTCAAGTATTTTAGTGAATGAGGTATAATAATCATTGATCAAGTACATTTTTCTTAAGAAAGAAAGAAAGAATATGCCACTAAACACATAATCATAGTGGTAAAATAGCTATAAACTTGTGAACCACTACAATCATAGGGGTGCAAATAGATGCACATTTTAATCTAATTGGCCTTTTGAATCATCTTGATGAATCATCTTGAGTTAGTCATTTTGGGATTTTGGTGTTAGAATCATGAAGCGCAGCTCTATTTTGGATGGGCATCGTTAGGCCAGATACATGGAGCATTGCCTATCTTAATGAGCAATGCACTCACCAGTCGTTACAACCCTGCTGAGTATATGGTTGCAGATGAGTTTGGTGACTAGGGTTATATATTCCAAGTGGTTGTGCTATCCATTGTTGGTGTCTTAATTTTGTCTAGAGTCTCACATGTTCATAAGATTTGGATCGAAATATTTGAAAGTGAAGTGCCTTGCAACTACAGGTCACTGGTATATTGAAAGTGATGTCTATGCCTTTGGAGTGATGATGTTGGATATGATAGGAGGTTTAGTCTCTCTTCATGACAAGAGGTGCTCCTCACCCCAGAGTTTACTGGAGTGGGCTAGGTTCACCTTATCCGATAAGGGAAAACTACAAAAATTCATGGACCCATGGTTGGAACAAGGAAACCCTTCAAAAGGAGCCTGCAAAACAGCTGACCTCATCCTAAGTTGTCTCCAAATCACCCCCGGAGATCGCCCTTCAATGCAAGAAATTGTGGTGAGCTTAGAAGGGATTAATGCCATGGAGATGTAGTTTTTGTTAATTGTTATATATCACTACAAAAGGATAATATATATAATGATCGGGTTGATAACATCATGTTATTTTCGTAATTATAAAAGAATTCACAATATTAGACAGTCATTAAACATTTTTCAACTCCATCTTTTTGTTGAAACATTTAAATTAGTTTTCAAGTAAAAATTGGAATACCATTAGATATGCAAGTATCAAACTTGAGGTATGCAGTTTAAGCCGATCTCCACATGCCTACGATAGCAAAACTATATGATTTATGAGATTGAAATTTAATCTCTGTAACTTAAAGGACATGAGTCTAATTTTACACGCATGTATAGGCCAGTCAAATACCATATCTAAAAAACACGACAGTTCATCTTAGCCTATTTGCACAATAATAGAGAATTCCATTATTGAAATCACTACAAAAAATCACGTCAATAGTGGCGACTTCCACTATTAGCGGCAACACTCGATATTGTCGCCGCCAATAGTGGAAGTCGCCGCTATTGGTGTCGCTGCTAATGCCTGTAAACCACGATCCGCATCAAAACTTTTTGTGAAACTCTGTCTGTTCGATCTGTCTACAATCCAAGGTCCAGTGTCGTCCGTGTCGTGTAAATCAATAGCAGCGACAGTGTCGCCGCTAATAATCGAAAAAAACCCGCGATATTTTCCATATTTTGCTGTCGCCGCTGTTTCCTAATTGCCGCCGCTATTGATCTAGCGTCACCGCTACTGAACACAGCGACTACCGTCTTCCTTCTTATTTTGTTTCACTTTTGTTCCTCCCGTTTTTCCTCAAATTCTCAACTGATTCAGGCTAACTAAGGTGAAATTCCTTGCTAATTTCTCTTTCTCTTTCTCTTGTAAGGTTGATTTCCAGTTTATAGTTGAGTTAATTGCAAAAAATCTTTGAGTTCCTTGCTCATTCCAGTTTATAAGGATAGACTACCACCACCATCGCACCACCTTGTTGATTTCCGGCCACCATAGGTTCCTTCCTATGTTAATTTCAAGATTATTTACAAAATTTGTGTATTTGTGTCTATTATGTGAAATTTGCCATATGTGTGTATATTTGGTATATATTTATGTGTATTTCATGGTATATGTATGTGATGTTGGGTTTTCTACGCATCAAATACACTCTAAACTAAGTAGCGGAAAAATTGAAACTACGATATACCTAAGTGTACATGCAACCTATGGATCTATGGTTTCATGTTAATTACATCTACCCTAGAAAATAAAA